TCGTATTCATTCCGATGGAATATAAAAATAATCTGGAAAATTTTGAAACTGGCGCCTAAACAGAAATCTTTGCAAAACCCAACTTATCCTAGAAATTATGTTTCGTTTCTTAAAAGATACAATAAGGATCAATATTGGTAACGGAATGAATGCTAACCGAAGAAGAATGAAAATAGACTCCTAAAAGTATATTGCGCGCGCTATCAGCTCCACGTGTTCCTGGTTTGGCAAACTTTGCTGTAATTATAAATTGCTTCGTTCATTGATTAAGTTATTAATCTTCGATTTCCATCTTTTTTGTTTTCAGTTTTGCTTTTTCTTTCATCCACGCAACCAAACGGGCGAAACACAGCCGATATGTCCAGGAAGCAATGCAAAAACGAAGCCCGAAAATCAATTATTATCATTTCCGTGAATTTGGCACAATACTGAAACTTTTAGCATCAGTCAACACTAAAGGTTGTTATGCTGTTTAAATTCATGTAACCTTTACGATATTCGAAATATATGGTTATTTTCAAAAATAAAATCCAGGAAATTACATACTACAGGATGCCTTGTGACTTTTCAACGGCCCAGTAATCTTACAACTGGTCTGTATTATTTCTGTACCTGTACGAAGAGATGTTAAAATAATTAAAGCATGGAAAATAACATACCATAAAGTATAGATTCTGGCTTTGAGGAAAAAAGGTTTTAAATGTTTTTTTATATATATATATATTGGTTGGCACGTGCATGCCGTGAATATGCTTCTTAATAAAGACTAACACTTGCGACACAAATACCTAATACGAGGATTATTATTACTGATACATATATGACATTAAAAAAATATAAAACAAACAGGTGGATAAGTTTTGGAAATAAATGACTAAGTTAAAAGATAAATAAGAGTGAATGAATATGAAATAAGCTCTATTTTCTCGCGCGTGGTGATGCGTATGTCGAGCTTGGGAGTTTGACAAAATTACCAGTGTCCAGCAATGAAGTCCTACTTCCAATAGAAGAGGGAGAAGTTTGCCCATTGTTTGTCTGACTTTCTTTTCCTTCATCTGAGGGAAAGAGAACGCGAACACGAATTTGTTGTGGTACATAGTTACATTATAACTTCCAGACCACGCGAAACGTGAACCTCGTGATCGCTGGGCATCCTGTGAAAAAGCCGTGTTACGGAGGTTTAAAGTTATACGCATGTGGGCTTGTAGAGGGATGAATGAACATGTAATCGTTGATAAAAAACATGTTTTGCTTCTTTTGATTTGCTTCAAAGTTGTTTGGCTGATTAACGAGTTTTTATGATATTTCATTTCTATAGACGAGACAGCGAAGGGTTTCGCAACTCTGCACGTCTAAGTTGTGGTTCAATTTTATCCCCGGTTCAAATTTTATTTTATCTTCGTGTCTGAGAGCGGGCAGTATTCTCCCCATCCGGCCCGCTCACAGCTCCATGGGTTCTTTTCGCAACCATTTGTTAGGTTTTAGAAAAAAATAAAAATGTTATTACTCTGTCTTGTGTACCGCCCGAGGCCTGTATACAAGACCTCGGGCACAGTTTTTCCCGATACGGACCTCCCGTCTGATGAATAACATATATTTATCTATTTAAAGTAACACGCGCAAGACGACCTCGAATTTTCCGCAAGGCACCCTAACTTGTCGACAGTTACCTTAACCAAGAAATTAAGATACATTCTCTTTAAGAGGTCAGGTGCATTTCGGTTCAAAAGATTTATTTCTTTCAAACTTTACCCACGAGATGGCCCTTGTCTAATCAACTTTACGAGACACCTTCTTAATGATCGGCGCCGTTAAAAATTGGCCTTTGAGTGCTAAAACCATTTCGCGATATTTCGAAAAACCAAGGTGGTTTAAACTATTTAGACTATGACAGATTCATGGGTAAGGTTTGAAAGAAATCGATTTTTTAACCGATATGCACTGGACTGCTTTAAGAGAGACTGCGTTTTCATCTCCTTCAATAGTGCATATAAGCATGGAATGAAAATGTACTTAGCTGTGACGATGTCTTTGCAAAGATCAATAACAAGCAAAACGTTTCAAATGAGTTCTACATAGAAGTTTCATAACTAATATCTTTCAAGGCTAACATTTTTAGACAAAATTGTCACAATATGGCACCCAATATATCTAAAGCTCAATCTTTTTGTCACTCATTTTTGAATCTAAGATGAAGCTATAAAAACATTGAAAATGATGGTGTTCGTCATTGGTTGCCAGAATAATTTAAAGTCAAAATCGAATCGATGAATAAAGTATTGTCATAGCCTACCTTATTTCAAATAACTTTCTTATATAAGTGTTCAGGTTATTAATAACTTCCCAGCGATAACGCTCAGAATCGTCCAACAGGATGTTTGCATTCGGCATTCGACATTCGTCATTTCGATTTGTAAACTTCAATGGTTTTTGAAATTTAATGGCTTGACAATTTGACAGCTTCAGTCTTGTTCAACCGATTAAATTATTTGAACCATTCTAACAAAGATTCTGATTGGCTTACTGCAGCGTGCTCTATGACAGTACAGATGCACGCTCACGCCACCTCTCTTCGTTTGGAATATAAATTTTGTTTTGAATACGAATATGAATGCTTGAGGAAGATATATTTTTTTATTGTTTTTTTAGAGGGTACGGTAACGAATCTTGCAATCTGATTGGTTCTTTACCCGGTCAGTATTTTCCTATTTCTGCCCACGGGCCACGGTAACGCTTTCGTGAGTCGCCGAGGACATCCCAACTTTCATTGTCATTTTTCATAAATATACCTCGTTTTCCGGCTGGGCAGTTTTTTTAAGCAATCACGTCGGTTACTACCTCAAGCCGATAAATAACTTATGAATCCTCTCTTTTATCTCTATCAAATCACTTTGGTTGACAGAAAAATATTGGTTTCAGAATGAATTTGCTCTCGTTTTCCGGCTGGGCAGTATTTTTAAGCAATCACGTCGGTTACTACCTCAAGCCGATAAATAACTTATGAATCCTCTTTTTTATCTCTATCAAATCACTTTGGTTGACAGAAAAATATTGGTTTCAGAATGAATTTGTATAAACAATAGTGTCATTACGTTGGTTGACAAGCGGCCTAAAAACCGTCTGCAATTAATTTTAATCGTTCACAAAAAGTACCCAGAAAGTTGAAACGTGAGGTATTTGGTTACAGTTAAACTGAACGATGGAACTTTCATTCATTTAATATCTGAATTTTCTCGAGCAATTTGTTCGTAGTGAAAGAGCGAGCGAAGTTTTAATTTAAGTTCTACAACAAATATACGCTCCCGGTGAGTCTTTCCAATTCCGTTCAATTTGGACAATTGTACCGTAAATTGCTCAACAGAAATTGAAGGAATTTTTTAAGAAAAGGCCGCATTAAATTCCCTTGTGTCTCGTTGGAGTGTGCCGTTCGAATTTAGTTTTTGTTTAGGAAAGACCAGAGATACACACGCCATTACAGCAAATAAACGAGCAAACTCTCACAACCTCAAAATAAAAAAATTGAATTTACTCACAATTACTTTCCTTGCCGTCTACTTAATGAAAAGAGGTAAATCTTCGTACATGAATGAATGGTCGACGAGAGTGAATAATACTTTCCGTTAGATCATAGACTGATTTTGAAGAAAACATTGTCGTAACAGTCCTTGCCAAACTAGTTCTGTTGGTTTTTAAATGTTCCTGCGCTTTTTTTTTCTTGCGCGCTCTCTAATTGACAGGTGTCAGATTGTGACAGATACTTGTAAAAATAATGTTTCAAAGTTTGTTTGGAAGCCTTTTAAATCACCTTTATCGTTACGGAAATGAAAATGTTTCAGCTGAGGCATCTCTCTTTAATTTGCATCACCTCTATTTTAACTACCATTTACTCACTCAAAAATTGTTCAATTTATGGAAGATCTTGCCGTATTTACAGCCATAAATTATTCGGGTTCTTTCGGAAAGAATTTCGTCAAGTTTAAAAACAATAAATATGTTATTTACCGGCTAAGGGTCGGTCCGTATGGTGAAAAACTGTGACCTCGGTCACAGTTTTTCACCATACGGACCTCCCAGCCGGCAAATAACATATATTTATTATTATTGTTCGCATCATTCCAAAATGGTAGCTAACCGAGATAATCTGGTTCGAATAGCATTAAAACGAGGCATCGGGGGCCACAGGTGGCGTCTTCGAGAAAAAACGTTGAAGCGGTCCTTCATTTCGAGCCGATGGAGATATTCCTTAAAGTTGTTCAAATGGGAGTGTTCCTTCGTCTCGGTTAAAGAATGCTGAACTTATGTTATGGCTACAATGTCGGGGCGATTCGTGCAAAGGATTGTCAACAAGTAAGCGTAAGCGGTACGTACATGTCACCTAAAGACTTGGCCAAACTGCTTGTTTCTTTGTGCTCTTTTTTTTTGTTCAGGGTGAACGAGTACTTCAAGACAAATATTCCACACGTTTACTTGTCGACCCAAACGAGAACTTTATTCATACAAAGCGTAAACGTCGCCTCTTGTCCAGCACAGTTCCAAGCTTGGGCTAGTTTTAACACATCCACTAAGTGCAATTTACCTCTGGAAGACACTCGATTTGGGGAATGCCCTCTTGGCTTCTTTGGTTCATACCAACCAACCCTGAGTGTTGTGGGTCATTTATGAGCTGTAAAGCTCATTACTTTTAGACGGAGACTCTCGTGCATCTGGCACCCAACCTCAGTGCCGTCGATGATGACTCTGGTGGATGAATATCTTTTTCCTTTAAATCGGCAGGCATATGTCCCTCAACTTTTCCCTTGAAGGCCACAATGGTAAGGTGGCAATTTTCAAAAACATAAAATTTATCCACGAAATGATGATGCAGCTCAGAGGAGTCCGAGATATATTAAATAAATTGGTTAAATGCCGTTCCCTGAACCCTTGCCTCAACCAACATAGAGTTTTTCAAAATTATTACTTTGATTTTAGCTGCCATGTTTAGGGGAATCCTCACCAGCTCTCTAATTTTCCATAAAATCATCTGATTGTGAATGCCAGTAGATAATATTATCTCCTTGGCTTCCAGGGTTTAAACATGCATAGATACTATCGAACACTGCGCGGTTAGGAAATCCTGTATAGATAATAAAATCCTTATCATACTCCACAAATTTGTCCAAGGTAATTATGTTTGCCTGGAACATCGTTTTGGGGCGACTCAATTCCGCAACTTCTGATTTCAAGCTCTCCTCTTCGGCAGTGATGTGACGAATTTCTTCCATGAGGCGTTTATTTCCGGCTTTAAATTCAAAAACCAAACTCTGTAAATCTCCGTCTATATTATCGACAGTGCCTCTTTTAAATTTTAAGTTTGAAAGTGCTTCTATTCCGCTAGAAGAAGAAGAACTAACAAAAGTGTTATGTCAGATCATAAATGAGTCAATAAACAGCTATCCGGAGGTAACTTCGCTGACATCAAATTTAGGAATTCGATAAATATTGTAATCATTCAGATGCATAAATATGAGGTCATTCGTAAAATTGCCTCAAAAAGATCCTTTTCCAAACTGGCATGTATATAAGAGACAGCTATAACAATGCATGATCAGCTTATTTGAACTAAAAAACAATGACACTGTAAACGTTTATTGCGCCATTGTTACGTTCAGGCATCGATATCCACCATCCTCTGAGAATTAATGACCAACTGTATTATTGTACCTAGTATCATAAACATTTTAGACATAATAGGAAGGTTAAAAGTCATTTTATTCGACCAACATAACGTGACTAAGCTTGTAACTCATACACTAAACATGAGCTCATGATATCAGTGATAACATAGATCTAGATCTTCGACGTTTTTGTGACGTTTCATGCAGTTGTCTCGTTTTCATGCAGAGTTCGCTGGGTCATTTCTAAAGAATCTTCTACAAAGCATTGGAACAGGTTGCAATAGGAATTTTTCCCGTTATTCAGGGTCCCCTTTCATGAAGAAATACTGAGCACTCGTTCGCCAAAAATTTGCCCCACTGAGGCCTTCCCCGAAGAACTTGATGGAGGAGTAAACCTATTGTCACGGTATAATCTGACCGCCAGAAAAAGAAAAGATTTCTAGAAGCTTATATTTACAACAATTACTCATAACACTATAATTTTTGCGCGATTGACGAGCTCAAACTAAGACTTTGTAGAAGAATAGAAGCGAAGGGGCAGTTCCCAGACAAGGACTGACGTTTCTCTTTTCAGACACATTTTAAAATGTTAAAGCCCCTGATGAGATGTTAGGCTCTAAGAAAGGAGACTAGGTGCCTCTTCTCAATTTATAACCTATCCCAGCACCACGCCTTACATAAATCCCACCTCCATACCTAAAGCAGATGAGTTTATTTAAAAGTGAAGACAATGACGGATTTACAATGCAATTTCCTGATTAGGGTTCGCTGGTAAAAAATTGGAACTCTTTCGTCTCTTCAGGGACACAACAGACCCTGACCTAGCTGGCGTTAGGGCCAGATCGTCGAACCTTTGACGGCAGGGGAGCATCCGCCAAAGGGTATTCCTAAATCCTGGGATTCTAAACGGATAAATTATCACGTTCACGAGAGAATTGCTAAATTGTAAGACCCTAACGAGTAGGATTGACAATGTCGAGTACGAAAAATTTGCTGTAACGCCAAATTGTAGCACTATATTAAGAATTTGAAATGGAAGCCAAGTCAAAATAGAAGCTCCCGTTATCAAAAATAAAGTCTTTGCTAACCTAGCCTCTCTTGACTGATTCTGGTTACCCATTGATGATCTCTGTTTCTTCCAGATAACATAATATGCGAGACACATAACTATAAGAGGCGCGGCAGGACAAAAAATAAGAAGGCCCCTTACTCTGTTAAGAGTAAAAAGTAAAACAGTGATTATTGTTGCCATGATCCACGGTGTGGCAATAGCACAGATGTAAGCACGAAGTTTCAAAGTTCTGTGATGATAAGGCCAAGCGAAGGCAAACATCCTCTCCACAGAAATGACGCCAAGGGTGTAGATGGAAGCTAACGCTGTGAAAACGTCAACACGGAGGAATACCGTGTCTACAGTTATCAAAGATGCTTCATATGCTCCTATAAAAAGAGGGATGGTCAACAATCCCACAAGTAAATCAGCAACAGACAAGCTGATTAGAAGAAAAGAAGTTCGTTTGCGTTGTTTCTGCTTCAGAAATATCCAGATGGTTAGAGTATTTCCTAAGACGATCAGTATCGCCAACAATCCAAAACACAGGAGCCAGAACATGTTCCATGAGCTCAAATTCATTTCAGCAAACTGTTTTTTCCTCCCACGATGCGACAATGATTTAACGATAAATTTTTCTACGAGACAAGAAAAACAGCAATATTTCATTTTCTTGTTGTAATGATATCGTTATAGGTTTCTTAAGATATCAATAAACCATGTTTTGTTCAGTTTTGTTTTAGTGTTTTTTTTTTTTTTGCTTTTTGTTTGTTTGTTTTATTGTTCAGCTAAGGAAGGAAAATTGTAGAGTACAAATCATACACTTGGGTTTCAAAAGAGATCGAGTTTGCGAAGTGAGTTTGATTTCAAATCAGAAGAAAAGAGGGTGACCTCTGGGCTGCCTCAATATTTGAATTTTATCCTTTCGATGTGTCGGACTTACGAAATATGGTCAAATGATAGCAAGAAACTTTTTGCTACGAAGCCCGTCGCGCAAGTAAAAAGAGGTCGCACCTAGAGCTCCCCGCGGCATGCTGAAATTAATTTTTTCCCACTTTTTTCTTTACTCGAGAAGGAGAAACTGCTTCTAGTCTAATAAAATCCAGAAACTTCTTCATCCGTAATCCTTTACCATGAAAGAAAAAAAAAAGAAAGAAAGAAAATACGCTTAAGATTATATATGCGAAAGTTGAAATCGCGAAATTACTGTGAATTACTTTCATACAAGAGATTATAAACAGTTTATAATCTGTTTCACACATATATATTAGGAAGTCTGTGTATTGATTTTTCCGTTTTACAGTGCTCGATAAGTAAAAGTAGAGCGTGATACTTGTTGCGATAGGGGAAAAAACAGAGACTATACTTTCACCACTACAAGCCTGTTTTGTGATTGCTCACTCATCAGGGGATTTTATTGTTAAAAATTTTCGTACTATCGTTTATATACTTTATAAATTTGCATAAAAATAATACTTCAATTGTTACATATACATATATATATATATATATATATATATATATATATACACATACATATATACATATATATACAGTTCAAAATGATTAAAATGAAACACGCATGATTCCCTGTAACTCTGAGTTTCGTGCTTACGCACTCGTGATCTGTCTGACGAGTGCGTAAATTGAATCTGACGTAAATTAAATCTGACGAGTGCGTAGGCACGAAACTCAGAGTTACAGGGAATCATTCGTGTTTCATTTTAGTCATTTAGAACTGTATTTCACTCTACACTCATGTGTACTGAGCACTCTCCAACAGCATTTGCTACAATTTCCCACAATTACATATATATACATATATATATATATATATATATATATATATATGAAATCTGTCCGATGATCGCGTAATGTATGTCGCGTACGTATATATAAATATATATATATACATACCATATATATATATATACATATATACATACCATATATATATATATATATATATATATATAGGAAGTTTGCAAGTCGATTTTCGCGTGGAACAGTGCTCAATACGTTGAAGCAGAGCAGAATAAATATTATGAGAGGAAAAAAGGACGCAACTACATTTCCCGACAAGCCTGTTTCGTGAATCGCTTCACTCTCCCCTGAAGAGTTAAGCGAATCACGAAACAGGCTTGTCGGGAAATGTAGTTGCGTCCTTTTTTCCTCTCATAATATTTAATATACATATACATATATATATATATATATATATATATATATATATACCATATAAACACAAGCACACGAATCAAGAGACATTTATAAGGTAACTTTTAGTTTTCATTACTGAGTGAAGACGCTTTAAATCATTGAAAAGAGCTCAAGGAAACTGTTAGCTAAAGTATCTGATATCAAACTGATCCATCATCCGCTTCTGGCTAGCAATTTACAAAGTTTTCTTGCGTTCTCCCAACATCCCGTGTGGGTTATTACACTGGTAAAACGATAAAAATCGCGGACTATTGCACAGATTAAAGTTTGAAGAAAAAGAGACGTCTCTTCCTTGAAGTTCTTATTATAGGTTTGGTTTTAGAGGGAATAAAGTAAACCGGCGTATCAATACTGGAATAGGAACGACCGATCTAGACAACTTATGATCTCTTGTCAAGCTACCGTCACTGAAGAACGTTACGTACCCAAAAATCAAACGAACTCTTCCAGTATTTCCCTACATATTGTCAAACCTGAAGATTATGAATATCTACATGTCAAAATCGTAAAACAACTTAGTTCCCTTGCATAAGTTAATATATTTCGCTAACTTCCGCCTCTTGGCGTGACAGCCGATAGAGCATAAGCAGATAAGTAATTTTCCCTGCTGTTATCTGAAAGGAATTGTATTGCATGTAATTTCCAATCAGTAGCAACTTGATAATAGTACCTTTAAATCAGCTCTTCAATGCTGGTCCTACACTGATGGATCAGTGTATGATAATCTTCCCTGAACGCACACAAGTGTGTCGTGTCAGTGTTACTCCACTGACCACGAAAGGTTCTGTCGCGGGCAACCGGAAATCAAGCCATTTACCAGTGGTCGGGAATACGAAATAATATAAAAAGAAAAATTACCATAAACTTTTCCTAAAGGCTATTCAAGTAAATTTTCATTTATAGGAAAAAGCAAAGTAATACGATAAATTATAAAACAGGAAGAAGTTGAAAGACGCTGGAATGTAGAGTAACAGGGAGAGAACTTTTCAAATTTTTCCATGCCCTACAAACGGTAACCGCTCGACGGAATTGCATAATTTTGGTTACGATTGTAACTCGTAGTCTCCTGGTGTATCCCTTGATCCCGATAAAAAAAATAATGAAAAGAAAATAAAAAAAATACTTTGTACTCTTAACGTGCGCTTTTAACTGGATGTTTTTAAAACCAAGAACAGGAAATGGAAGATGAGGAACGAGGAACGGAGAACGGGGAACGGGAGTTTAGGGTAATTCTCGTAAATATCCAATTTGACGGATGAATAGGCGGAGTAAATATGCGGTCAAAGGCAAGTTTCACTTTAAGTCGTACTAAATACGATTGAATAGAAAAACCCAAGGTTGCTCTTTGTGGTCTGTTGTATTTTAGATCGCTTTGTTTTCTCTGTTATATAGTATTTAGGCGCTGCTAAAATACAATTTTCGAGTCAAAATTTTTCGAGGGTCTTTATAAGAATTATTTAGATAATTTTTGTGACGCAAAGGCAGGCTGTCTACGCATGGTGATTTTGTTGTTCGTAAGATACGTAAGTCTTACCTGCACTTTTTTTTTCAACGTAATTGAAATTTTCTTTGATCCAAAATGCGTACTTTCAAAGGTATATGAAACAAAAGAGAAACGAGCGAGAGAACAGCATTCAGCTAAGGTGGCGTAAGCTTCAATGAATAACAGTGACATAGCAATCGTTTGATTTTGCATATCATTGAGGACATAGCTTATTTTTAGGAACGTAGCTTTTGTCATTTTTGCACTTTACACGAGATTTGGAATCGATTGCTTCAATTACCATAGTTATTATCCTACCTAAGGGCATATACTTTCAGGTTTCCTTTTGCTCATACAAACGCATCGAAAACTAAAATTTTGAATTGGTAACGTATATTGGCCACCGTAAAAAGTTTCTAAAGCTGATGTTTTTGTTTGTTGTAATACCAGCGAAGGAGCTTGGTAAATAAATAATTGTCTCAACGTACCTCACTTTCAAGAACTTTCCTAAATAGATCCTCAGTTTCGCTTAAAAGCTCCGCGATATCGCTCATAGTCTAGCAAGGCGTTTGCATTACAAAGCCAACTATTTATTACCTTTGAACAGCCGGCCAAAAGGAAAATTGTTCTGACTAATTATCAGTTCAAAGTAACTTCTGACGGCGCGTTCTGGAAAGTGACAGATCACGTGGAAAGCTAGTTACGATGAATCTTTCTAAATTTAAAATTTATTACCTTGATCGAACATATCAGCTGTAGGCGTCACATTATATCGCTACATTTGTATTTTTATTTCACCTAGGCACACACGCGTCAAAAACTAAAGTTTTCCAACGATCAGCGTCAATGTTAAAGAAGTGAGAGGTATTTCGATTATTCCCTGCGCGTCATGATATGTCATCATTTTAAATATGTCCTTCCAACGTGTATCCTTGACATCAATATTTGGATGACAGACAACAACTGACCACGACTTCTCTGCTTTGAGGAGGTATATTTTCAGATATATTTTCAGATGTCGTAATTTGTTTATTTAATACGCTAAAAAGTATGAAAACAGATTGTACATTCATGAAAACAACTGAAAAGACTTCAATGAGTTCTTTCCTAGCCATTTATGGCTAATTTTCGATTACGTCGAGACCATTAGAAGATTAAACAATAGGTTTCACGCAAGGAGAAGAGTTTTTCGGTACATTTTATAACATGTTTCGTGGTAATTTGAACGAAAATTTTCACTTCCCTCGTATCAACATTATCTTAATCAATTGACGATAACACTACGGCGAAAAGGTGGTTATCCTAAGGAAAAAGGGGAAAAAAGAATTGAACTCAAACTCAAGCTTATTTACAGTACAAATAAAAAATCAATGGTCTTGCCGTCTGTTTAAGTATTACACATTCGCTTCGTCCTCCACCTCTCCGATCGCTTCGTTGACATTAGCCGCGACAACTTCGTTTGATGTGTGACCACAGCACAGAAGTTTGCGAAATTCGGTTTGGAACCCACAATTTGTGAAAGCGTAAATAAAAGGATTTATTGTAGCGCTCAGAAAAAGGAAAAACGTGACGAGAATTGCTGCTCTTCTAGGACAGGTTTCTGGAGAGAAACGCTTCCAAAGGATGAATGCCCACATTGGTATCCAGCAACACAAAAATCCAGCGGCCACGTACAACAAGACTCGAGTAGCGTGTATCTCCTTCAATGAACTTCTTCCTCCACAATTAGTCCTGTCACGGAGAGATGGAGCTGTGTTCAATTGATGTTGATGGGTAGTGGATAATACCTTGTAGTAGCTGAATATACCACTGCATAGCGGTACAACGAAAAACAATCCGAATGTTATGCAAAAATGAACGACTCGAACCCTCTGATTTG